ATCTATCTATCTATCTATCTATCATCATCTATCATCTATATCATCTATCTATCTATCATCATCTATCTATCTATCATCTATCATCACCTACCTCTGTATGCCCTCTGTATTTTGGAGGTGGGTGCTAGTGGGGAGGGAAGGGTAAAAACTGCAAAAACTTCTTAAATAGCCTTTGGAAGGCATGCTGTAGAATTTAAAACAATCCTGTGGTAATAATTGGTATTAGTGGCAGTAAAGAAGAGAGAATAACAGTTTAAATAAATAATTAGACTTGACAGTAGATGTGTCAACAGGTACCCATTTAATGAGTGTAATCACTGTTTTTCTCTGCTCTTAACGTTGATCCACTGACTGTGGTGTGTTCCCTGTCCCGTTTCCAAACCAAATCTATTTAAAGCTGCAGTTCATGGAATCTGAAACAGTATACTGTGTTTACTATTTAGAGCTGATACCCAATGTTCTTTAATAGGCAAGATCAGTACTTCAGCAAGAACAGGCTTCTGGCCTCCTGCAGACTGATGATTATTCCTGTTTTCCATAGTGTGATTCATGAGCAAGGATGAATAATACCCAATTAATTCTCATGGACTTGTTTATATTGCTAGAGTGACTTGTTTATTACAATTTGATGGAACGACCCTAGTCTACCTTAAATCAAATTAATCAGTTATTGTTTTCTGAGGTAGAGGTTGAGGCAGTAGTTTAAAATTTTTATTTTTTATTTTTTTAGTTACCTGGATATGATATCATTGTTTTGGGGAGTTAAGCAGCATGTTTTATATTATGGTATATGAGCCAGAAGTCATGAGAATCTTAATTCTAATCCCAGCTCTGGCAATGTCACCTTGGGCAAGTCACTTTATCTCTCCAGGGTCCATTTCAGCATCTCACAAAAGATAGAGTAGGACCGTTTGGTTGTGGCATTACTTCTAGTCAAATGTCCTATTGTCTGTGATTTTATTTCTTAGCCCATCTTTTCTCCTCCTGCTGCCACTTTCCCAAAGTCATAGGGAAATTCTATTACTCTACTAGAGAGCCTGTGTGAAAATAGTTTACTTTTCTATTTAGTTTTTGAATCTTTTACATATTAGAAAAGCAGTTAGAGATTTGAATTATATACTATGATTGGACATTTGTGTGTTGGTCATCCAGTGATGTTCAGTTTCTGGTTAGAAAGAGAGAGAAATTCATCTTTCTCCATGTTTCTCTACTCTGTAATCTGGTCTCATTCTTAGAGGATCTGGTGCACTTATCCACTGGTAACATCATTTTGTTATTTGTTCTGTTGTTTGACTTTTCCAGGTTGAGTCATTGACTTTTAAGGAGAGGTCAGAATGTCAGAGCCAGGGAAGACTTTAGGAATCAATCTAGCCAAATTCTCTCATTTCAGAGATAGAGATTTTGGGTCAGGGAGGAAATCCAATTTATCTAAGGTATTAGTGACAGATCCTGGACTAGAATTCTTTCTTCTGACTTTATAGTTGTACCTCTATTTTAGGACAGAATTCTTCCTATAAACTGTCCTTTCTCAACCCAATAAATAAAGGGCCATTTTCTTTCAGGCAAAACCAGTGTCAACGCAGGTATGTGAGATGTCCTTAAAATACAAATGGATTCTAGGCATCTTCACTAGTCCCTTGGGGCAGGGGAATAGAGGATTCTGGCTGACTTCTCTCTGTGTTTACTAGGAGAATATGGATTCCCCTGCAGTCCTTTCTGTAATAGATTACTTGACCCTGACATCACCACTGTTTCCTCCACCTGTCTTCTGGTCTTCTGCTCTTTTCTGATTCAATGAATGATAAGAAGCTGAGGATGAGCTCCTAGCTGGCTATTTGCTGTGCATAGTTGGAAACATCAATAAAGAGAAGACAGATGAAGGATTAATAATCAAGAGGACAGGAAAATAATAGCCAACACAGTGAAATCTAGTTCAAGGCCTGCAATTCCCAGTTGCTGTGCTACACAAGATTAATAGCAGCATCTCTCACTCTTTCAGGCTTTCTTTCTGCCTTGTTCTTGTGGGACTGGGCTGGGACCGAGGAGCAGCTGGAATGATCTTTGCCAAAACCAAACTCATGTTTTCATGACATTTCCAGGTCCAAAGAAGAAAGTA